GGACTCGGTGCGTTCTACATAGTCTCCCTGAACACAAGACCAAGTTGCGACAACGAGGTCAACCCACCTCGATTAAATAAACCTGCTTTTTAGGTAAAAAAATAAAATGCACTTACTTAAGTGTGTGCTTCGTCTCCTCGTTAAGCTTAAATTTCTAAAGAGCCCGTAAAATAAAACTTTATAATTGCATTCAAGACAGTTAAAATCTGATATAAAAGTGTCACTTTACTCAATGGTATTTAACTGATAACTATGGAGTGGCTTCTAACAGGCTCCTATAGCGACCAAAAGACAACCCGCTTAAGAAAACCTGTATTTGCCCGAGTCTTAAAGGCAAAAGTCTTTTTAACTAGTCAGTAATAAGTTTCATTGAGGCAAGAAGGTGAGCTGCTCCTAAATGGTAAACGCTACTGGAAAATTTGATTAATCCGATTACTTTTTTAGCCTTTATTTTCAACTTAAAATGTGGACATGAAGTAACACTTTTCGTCAAATTTGCCTCCCCACCAAATTATAAATAAGCCTTTGTAAATATATTTTTGAGCTCCCTATTTCTTGAGGACTGCGCTTGTAACTTCCTTCTGATTCAGGGTCCGGTTTTTGCAAATGGAATTTTGCTTCTGCATATCCTTGACTTAATAAGCTTACAAGCAATGGAAGATAACAATACTTTTTAGAAGTTGTTTGACCTTGTTTTCGCAACTTGATCATAATGGCAGAAAGACCTTGAGGTACACATCTTGTCCGAAGTCCAAAGTATGCATGATAATTTCCAGATTTGGATCATGGACTCCGGATCAGGTGCGTTCCTCAAGGTCTTTCTGCCAATATGAGCAAGTTGCGAAAACAAAGGAGACTGCGACCACACAAAAGGCCACACCATCTTGGTCTTCATACCTCTGTCTTTTTAGTTCACTATTTCTCTCTCGCATTGAGACCAAAAACCAAAAGTAGGCTCATCAACAAAACCAGACGTGTCCGACCTTGCGCAATCGGAGTGATGGTTATAACTTAAATGTAGAAAGGGGGAGATGGGGGTCATCAAATCTTGATGGCAAAAACAGA